AATTCAGACCTCAGTGAAATAGGGAAGTAGGAAACACCTGGACCAGCCCCGAGCCCACACAGAAGCGCCTCAGGCCTGAATCACGGCTCTGCTCTGCAGGAGATGATGCCAGAAGGCTGCACGCGCCCAAGCTAAGAAAGCAAGCAGACACGGGACTTCCCTCTTGCCTCTTTTTGGAGGAAGTGAAACTGCCCTCCTGCAACACAGATGGATACCCTTTGTAGAAAAGTTGGCTGTTTCTTTTGAAGACCACAGTTCTGTTTTCAGACGGGGGGCCCTTGAGGGTGGCCATCTGGAGAGTTTATGTGATTGCATATGCATTTCGGTACAAGAAAAAAGTGGAGGAAATTACTGGTGAGCAGAGTAAATCAAGAAAGAAGTGGGTCTAACACTCAGGTCAGACTCTGCTGGCTGCTTCCTCCCCCTTGACCTTTGTGAGCAGCAATACCTGCTGCTGGCGTGCAAATGTAAGTGGAACCAAAACTCCCATCATTTTCATTTGCACTTCTTTTTCCATTGTTTCCCTGGGAACTGAAAAGAGAACTTCCTTCAGCAAAACAATCACAGTCATAGGTTTTGGATCATTTCAGATATATGGAAATTCCAGAAATATGTTCTTTTTTTAAAAATGTATACTTGTCGGTTATTTTCTTGAGTACAAAAGTAACGATTACTCAGTACCCGTCCCAGTGTTTGGTACTGAGTATATTCTCAATAAAAATTTGTCAAATGATTAAAGACATGCTCATTGTTGAAACACAGAAAACTAAGTGTTAGTGACAGAGTTTTCTGATCCCAATGAATTAACCCTGAAACAGTTTGAAGAAAAGTGTGGATATTTCAACAAATTTATTGGAAGTATTAAAGGGCATTGAACTCTACTTTTTCTAATTCTTGGATTATTCTACCGAGCTGTACATTTATAACTGATTTGGAAATTAACCAGGACATCCTGTGCAGAGGCTTCTCCTGTAGCCAAGTGTGTACTGAACGCTGGTTCATCAATTAATTCTTCAGGGTTGTAAGTGAATTCCCTGAAGAGTGATAACCGAGGGAGAAATGGACCCAGAGTGTCTGTTTCTGGATTTACAGAACACAATACAATCATTATCTTAGTAATAACTAGTGAAGCTCACCCTGTGAAACTAGGCAGCTGGCCTCACGACTTCTGAAAGCACAGTCAGCTGCATCCCTGGCATTCTGAGGGAATTCAGTTCCCTGAAGCCGTCTTTCCAGGATGCCTACAGGTGATGGTGTAGTGACACCTATAAATCGAAGCATAACCTTTTCAACCTCAGCACTGCATCGGTTCATCGTCTGACTTGGGGAGCATGAGAGTGCATTGGGGAGCCCATTAACTCCCCTGGGTTCCCTGGCTACCACTAAACGTCCTAAGGTGCACCCTGGTTGTCCCAAAGAATTGACGGAACTGGGCTTCAGTTAATCCTGGCACTAGGTCAATGAGCCTGGAAACACTGTTCTAAATTATGGGCTCCGATGCCCTAGCATTAGGACACTAAGGAAAATTTGTGAAATTATGTTCTAATGATCTAACAAATGAATTGCTACTTTTAAAAAACTGAGTAACGAAGCCTACATTCTTTTTTAGGTACCTGTGCTGATTATATGCACTTACCAATGAAATGACACACACACACGCACACACACACACGCACGGTGTAGAAATGTGTATACACATATATTCTTTGGCNGTTCTTTTTTAGGTATCTGTGCTGATTATATGCACTTAACAATGAAATCACACACACACACGCACACACACACGCACGGTGTAGAAATGTGTATACACATATATTCTTTGGCCACTGTCTGCTTTTGCTAAATAAACATCTAGATTACAGTGTGGATTTTCTCTTTGTTTAAACATTTCTATCTGAAAAGAAACAGTGGCACAGTGTGGGGACCCCTCGCCTTCACTCTGAATGCTGAGGACAACGCAGGCCGAGGTCCCCAGAGTACCACAAGTGGAATCCTCTTCAGATCCCCTCAACTCCGCCCCAGATAACGCCACCTCCAAATCTGGGACTATTAGCACTTAGGGCAGTGAAACGCCACAGGACTTGTGTCCAAGATCTTCACTCCCTTCTCCTGTGAGAACCACCCTCACGCTCAGGTAAATGGGGAACTGGTCCTGGAGTTCCAGGAAAGAGCAGCCAGAAAGAGCCTGAAACGTCAGGAGGGCAAACAGAATGCGAAACCTAAGCTTCCCTCGCGGCCCCACGGCTCGGGGAGGAAGCGGCGGGTGCGGGGTCGGTCGCCCTTCTCCTAAGTCCCTCCTACGGCCCCGGGGGGCGGGTGGGCTCAGCGGCCAGGTTTGTCTAGCGCGCCCGAATGCTTTCAGAGTCCGGCTGGACCGCAGTGTCCCAGGCCCTTCGTTTCCCCTTTTGCAGTTAGAGCAGCCTGAAGAGGAAGCGGTGGCTTTAGGAGGAGCGCCGAAGTATTTTTGTAGTTTCAGCGGCTGCCGCCCGCCGCGG